ACAGTCTGAGCATCAAATTTATCAAAAATAGGATGATGATATTAATTACCAGAATATTTATGGAATGAAATAGCCTGAGAGTCCATTCTAATATAAATAATTAAATGGGGGAAGAGGGAAGGGAAAGTTCTCCCTTCCAGCAGAATAATAATTAATAGACATAGAAGGAATGATAGAATTAGAAAATCACCATTTTGGGGCGCCTGGGTGGCTCAGTGGGTTAAGCCTCTGCCTTCGGCTCAGGTCATGATCTCAGGGTCCTGGGATCGAGCCCCACATCGGCCTCTCTGCTCAGCAGGGAGCCTGCTTCCCCCTCCCCCTCTACCTGCCTCTCTACCTACTTGTGATCTCTCTCTGTCAAATAAAAAAAAAATAAATAAAAAAAAAAAAGAAAATCACCATTTTACCACCATCACAGCAATTGATTCCGCCAAGAATTACCAATGTGTACTAAAACTAGTGGGTGAGAGTTTGATGAGGAATGGAATATTTACATCGTCTCAAAGTATCTCCTCACAAATTATAAGCGAACAAAACCTTAAACAAGTAATCACAATTACCATCACCAAGAATAGGACAATCTGACATATGCCTCCTGATATGATGTCCTGATCATAAATAACACTCGGCAATATTCCTGCCAAAAATACATTATCTGGATTTAACCATGGGGAAATACAAAACAAACCTAGACTGAGGACCATGCTACAGAATAGGGGCCTGCGGTATCTGGCTGGCTGGGTTGGTGGAGCGTGTGACTTGATCTCAGGGTTGAGTTTAAGCCCCATGTTGGGCGTGAAGATTACTCAAGAAAAATCTCACCACCCCCCCAAAAGGTAGCCTGTATTCTTAAAAAAAAAGTCAAGATGATGACAGACTAAATAACTGGAAACAGGCTACAGTGTGTGGTCTAGGGTTAGATCTCAGATCTGAACAACAAAAACAAAGTCTGTAAAGGATATTATTGGGACAATTGGTAAAATTTTGATCTGTATCATGAATCAGATAGTAGTATTATTATCGATGTTATAGTTCCTAATGTAGATAAGTGTCTTGGGTTATACAAGAGAAAGTCTGTGTTCTTAGAAACATACACTAAATACTTTTGGATAAAGGAATATGATGTCTACAAATGACTGTCAGATGGTTTGCAGAAACTGTTTATGTGTAGAGAGTGCACAGGCGAGCACATGTACATGAACACACAGAAATGATAAAGCAAATGGGACAAGATACTACCAACAGGTGAATCTGAGAAAAAGGCATCAGAAGTCCTTTGTACTATTCTAGTCACTGTTCAGTGAAACTATATCAAATGGAAAGTTAAAAAATAAGCCAAGCTAAAAAAAAGGTTTTCCTGGCTCCCTGATGCCAAAAATCAGAAGCCAAATAATATTTGTGGGGTACAGGGCACCATTATAAGTGCTTCGTATCTATTAACTCGCTTTATCCTTACAACAACCTCAAAGCTGGTATTCTTGCTGTCTTCATCTTACAGGTGAGTAAACTGAGCCACTGAGAATTTATGTAACTCACCAAGGTCACAAAACCAGGAAGGGGCAGAGCCAGATCTCAGGTACAGCAGTGTGGTACCCTGAAGACTTGGGGCAGAGGATAAGGAAGTGCTTCAGTAGCAGAATCTCGTTCATTTCAGGAAAGGCTCAATGATGATGGCAGGCTGCTGGCTGGTAAGACAGCCGAAGTTCCATCTTAGTCCCATTCCATAACTGATACCAAGACAACGTTTCTAACAATTCCTGCTCTGTAGGATCAATTTCCTGGGCATGCCTAGTATTTTTAAGATTTTATGTATTTATTTGAAAGAAGAGACAGAGCATGAGCAGGGGCAGAGGGAGAGGGACAAACAGACTCCCCACTGAGCAGGGAGCCTGATGCGGGGCTTGATCCCAGGACCCTGGGACCATGACCTGAGCTGAAAGCAGATGTCCAACTGACTGAGACACCCAAGCACCCTGTCCTAATTTTTTGGTAAACATTGATCATATTTACCATATTACATTTAAAGTATCTGTTTATGAGATTATTTCTTCAATCAGTCATGTCTGTCAAACCATTTCTTTATACCCCAAGTCCCTAATACAGAGTGTGGCCTATAGCATTACTCACTAAATATTCCTCCTCTAACTTTCTTTACATTCCACTTACCCACCTTCACTTGATATGAACACAGTGTCATGCAGATTTGGCTGCGCTGTTTCAGAATACCCAAAGTGAAGTGTTGTTATAGGAGGCCAGACCTGGTTCCTTGACTGCCAGGGTGAAACAGAAATGTTTACTTCACTCTGAGTGAGCAGTCATCTCTCTATCAAACAAGAAAGCAGTGACTTTAGGCTCATTCATTACAGTGATCCAAGAACTTGTCCTTCTGATGCTACCGGGGAGTGTTTAAAAGTTCATGTAGAGGGGCGCCTGGGTGGCTCAGTGGGTTAAAGCCTCTGCCTTTGGCTCAGGTCATGATCCCAGGGTCCTGGGATCGAGCCCCACATCGGGCTCTCTGCTCCGTGGGGAGCCTGCTTCCTCCTCTCTCTCTGCCTGCCTCTCTGCCTACTTGTGATCTCTGTCAAATAAATAAAATCTTAAAAAAAAAAAAGTTCATGTAGATGGTTTCTGTGACATGGGACCTGACAGGCACAGCCTTTCTCTCTTGCCCCCCGACCCGACCTTGTTTTCCACTCTTTAGTCTAAGGCGGCCCATGACTTAGAAATTATGCACACTTCTCATGAAGGGCAGAGTGCTTGGTGTCCTCTGTGAGTCACCTGAATCTATGTTTTACTCCTTAATCAAACAGTAAGTCTGCACTTGGGAGGGCATGCTGTTTGCTCTTGGGTTGTAGCAATAGGCCAGACTCGAAGTCCGGAGCCACATTCAGGTGCGGTGATGTTCAGGGAGGGACCAGTTGTGCGGTGGGACTATGGTTTTGCAACACTTCTGTACTGGTTGCCAAGCAGTCACGGTCCTGAGCACTGTGAGCATCCACTTCCTACCCCTGGGAACTGGGGCCACTCTTGCTCCAACACTCAAACCTGCTGGGTCTCTGAAACCTGCTGGGCAGGCCCAAAATTTGAGGGTAGCTCCTCGTGTTCCTGTGAAATCAAATGAACACCGTAGCAGTTTTACCTGCCGGGGCAGGGGATGGCAGGACCCAGGACACGGATGAATAGGACGTTCCAGACCTTTAGAACATCCTCTCTCTGGGTAAACAACCAACACAGTGCTTATATATGTGTACACCTGTACCATATACAATGCATACCGTTTACTGAGCACTTACTATGGGCCAGGCACCACACTTATTGCTCTCAGGATCACACAGCTTGTAAGTCACATGCACAATCCAGACCTAGGTCTGGCCGGCTGTTAACTCTGCTGCCAAGCTGAGGCCTCAGGGTCACTGAGCGCTTTCCAAGTTGTTTCATATACATCACCTCTAACCCTTTATAACAACCCAACCTTACAGACAGGGCATCTGTTTTACAAATGAGAAAAACCAAGGCTCTGAAATGTGAAGTTACTTGCCCAAAGGCATCCAGCTCTTAAGTAGCAAAGTCAGGATTTACACTTGGTATCTCCAAGGCTTGTGTTCTTCCACATGAAATGGCATCAACGGCAGCCCAAGCAGGTGACCTGGCAGTGGCCACAGAAGGGCAGATAAGCTGGAGAGTTTAGTTCATTGCATGAGGAAAGGAGTTAAAAGCACAGCTCAGCTCTGGGTGCAAGGCGGGGAAGACTTCTGGGCTTAGGAGTACAGCATCCTGGAAACAAAGTCTTGGCTTACCAAGTTGGAGGGAGAGACACGGCTGGCTCCTGGACTAACAAAGGTCTTGTCTACCCAGACAAGCTATTCCAGAGCTTTAAAAGAGTAACAATAAACACCTGCAATGCTCTGGCCCTCCTGAGACTAGGAAGATCACAGAACATTCCCCCAAAGTTTGCCTTGTCTGATTCCTTCCTTAATGCCTCTGATCACAGTTCAAGACCTACCTTTAAAAAAAGCATCAAAGCAAGGAACAGAAGTAGAGGATGTGTGTATTTTAAAATGCACATGAGAAAGTCAAGGATATGTGTACTTTAAGTTGGGGGAGAAAAGGTTTGCTAAATTTTATTTTCTAAAAATAAAAGGCTGCTCTTAAGCTAGTTAGACCCTTGTGTAGCACACTGAAGGCCCCTCTCTCCTTGTACAGCAAAGCAGCCAGCCCTGGTAATGATTTAGGGGAGATTAACAAATATGTCAATGTCTATTTTCTGCTTAATTTAAAAGCGGCGTCTATAAAGATTTTTGACTTCTGAACCCTGTTCTCCTGAAAGAAAGAAGGTAAGAATGAGGAGGGGGATAAAGAGTGATTATCCTATCATCGATCGTTTGTCAGGAGCATTTCTTATTCACTGGACTATTGTAAAAAGCTAAGCTCTCGATCAATCCTGTAAGCTCCCTGTACAATTAAATATCTTGGAATGGTTTTCTTTCTTTTCTGGCCAGATTGCAGGGCCTCAGGGTTTTTAGGAAAGCAAGTCGTTGTGTGCATGTGCGAGTGTGTTTAAGAATATGCTACAGGGAGGAAAGTCATTCTTTTTCTAGAATCCTACTTTAGGAAAAGGCTGAAATGGGAGAAGAAAGGTAGATTACTCCCGTCTCTTCCTTCCCAAAATAACAAGTCCCCATGAATTCCTAAAAATCCAACCTTAGAGTTAAAAACACTTTAATGTAAAGAGCTGAATCCAGAAGGGCAGTATTAGTCTGATCAAATGAGGAGAGCTGTTACTGTGCTAGAAATGTTGAAGTACCTTTTCTCTCCTTTAATCCTCGCAAACACCCTCCAAGATGGCTGCCTTACAGATGAGAAAACCGAGGCACTAAAACGGGGCAAGGCTGTGAAACGTGCCCAAGGCTGTGAAGCTAGGACACCGTGGAGCGGGGATCTGGGCTTAGAGAGTCTGGCTTCAGAGCCCATCAGTTTTTATTTTTAAAATTTCCCCTAGAGTGGGGTGCACAGTTCCTGGAAGTATGGCAATAGCAGGTCGACAAGTGCAGTGGATGGGAGCGAGCTCCTCTTCGGTCTCCTACTTCCAAAAATCCATTTAATATATTGTCCTCGGATAGAGGACGTATCAGATATTAAACTGATAAGAAAAGATACTATACTTGATCTTAGCCAAAAGGCCGAGAAGCAATGTAGAGCCAATGCCCTTTAAATGAAACAAGTTAAATTGACCCACAAGTGTCCACAGGGCACTGGCCTGTCAGGTGTTCCCGGGGCCAAGATATAATGAAAAGCCACATCTCTCCTCCATGGGGTCAAAGCTGGAGAGAAGCTTCTGAGGAGGGAGCTGATTTCTGTAGCAGGAGGTGGGTTTTTTTTTTTGTTTTTTGTTTTTTTTTTTTTTTTACCTAGCCATGACTCTGAAGGAGGGCAGGAGGGGAGCCTCATCCTATGGACAGGCAGATCACATCCCATGGTGGAGGATTTGGGGGGAGGGGTGAGACCTTCAGAGCTTAGAATAAAAATCAGGCTGGTAGGCTGAAAATTCTCTACTCAGCCAAAGGCACTAGGTGACCTTGCAGTAATCTCTTTTCTGTGCTCAGTTTCTCGTTTATGTAACAACAATCCTAAGCTGGCGAAGAGGGAAACTGTTTTATAAAAGAATATGATATTAAAGTGCTTTTTATTTTTTAGTTATACTAAGAAGCCTATGTAAATTTAAACCCAATTTCAACTTTTATGGGCCCTTCTTCCTTCTCTTAAGAAAGCAATTTGCTTTGATTGGTTAAATACTTATGAAGCTAAAGAAAAGGACAAGACCACCCTCCTCACTCAGCTCCAGAATATCTCAGATAAAAGAACACACAACGGTACCTCAATTTTGAGACTGAAAAATCAGCATAAAAAAGACTGGAATCTTATTAAGATTAAGAAGTACAAACACAAGTAGCTATTTCGATGTTAAAAGAAATTCCTCTGTAAAGATGGTAAGATAGGGAGAAAAAAAAAAAAACCTTGCAAAACGATTTCTGTATCCATCACAGGTGTGCCTTTCTTTACGCAAAAGCATTCTGGAAAAACTGTGTAAATCAGATCCTGTTTTAAATGCCTTAAGGGAGCTATTTAGAAGGAACCCTGCAGTGAATCCTTTGGTAAAGCAAATAATCCTTTTGTAATGGGAACAATTTCTTCCAATGTATCTAGTTTTTTTTTAAATCCCATTTTCATATATCTGCTTTTCTTCAAAGGGACCACACCTATCTAAATATACAGCTGCATTTGCATATTGATTTTAACAGCAACTCTCTCTGGGATGTTTAACCGTAGGTTCCTTGCAATGGTGTTAGTGCTCCGCTGTTCGTATTTTTAAAAATCATTACAGTAAACCCAACGATTTCCAAATAGGAATCAAAGAATCTGCTGTTCCCCCCTTCAGCCCCGTGCCCCCACGCAGACAGTCCACACAAGAGTCAGGAAGCTGCACAGAGTTCTCTGAATTCTCGAGGCAGTTAAGTCTCAAAGTCTTTACTATTTTCCTTTCCTTAGTTGCTCCTTTCCCTTGGCCAGCCTGCCCCCCCCCAACCCGCCCCACCAGTTCTAGCAGGTCAAGGGATGGGGCTCTAGGTCAGCTGGGGACAGGCGAGGAACAGGGTCTCTCAGACATATTCTGATGACAGCCCTCAGGCAGGAAGAAGCTTAGGTTCAGTCCAACAAAATGCCAGCCAGGTCTCTCCATCTGACAGAACTGTGAACCACTGCTTCCTGGGATGAGGCAAGCCCAGGTGCTTTGATAAATACAACCAGATGAACGGAATAGACCAAAACAGACCCTTCTCCTTCCCAGAAAACGCGGTCACTGTTGCACCATATTGCATCAAACCAAAGAACCTCTGAATCAGTGTGACGAGGTGGGTGGTAATCCGCTGCTCATTCAGGGAAAGAGGCACCTGCCTACCCCAGAGCCCAGGGCTTGGACAGCGATGGTGCCAAGTGAGGACACTGTGTGTGTTCAAGAGGTGACTGGGCAAGAGGCCATTTCGCACGCATTAGGACCAGAACTTCTTTCCCTCCTGACTTTGCAGGCAAGGATGCTGCCTTCTGACCCAAACAAGCAACTCTAGCTCTTTTCAGCTTACAGCATCTTGAAGATGGACACAACTGATGGAAAAGCATACATAGCTCAGATACTTTGATCACTTCTACCAGAAAACCAGCTTAACCCCTGAATCCCCTTAACCCAAAGTGTCCTTTTCTTGTTATCTGGCTGCTTAAAAGAGAAGGCTTGGGAGGCAGGCATTCCCATAGATGTCTCCAGGCACATTTACCCTCACCGGAAGCCACAATACTCACTCTGCCCCCAGGAAGCCTCGGGCAGAGGGGTGTGCTGGGCTGAAGGGCCAGGCGTGGAGCAACCACAGTGCCCAGCCAGAGCTGCCCTTGCCTGTGTCAGACCGTCCCTCTCAGGGCTCCATGTGGGAACAGCCGGGCTGCTGCAAGGCAGGTTGCCCAGCCGGCTGGGAAGAGGCCCACGTTCAAAACGTGTGTCTGGAAGTGTGTGTGTGTGTGTGTGTGTGTGTGTGTGTTTCAGGAAGTGGCTCCTTTGCCTAAAGACTATTTGTGTTGAGGAAGAGGGATGGAGGGGACCTTATGATTGCTTCATACTTGGACTAGACGGCTCTCTCTCTCAATTGATATATCATTTCCCTCTGAGCACAAGGCAAGGGTATGGATCCAGGAGAAAATCTCAGGTCCTGGCATCAAGAGACCAGGCTAGGAAGGCCATCCTACCCCACACCCACTCCCTACTCCTGGATCTCTGAGGAGGTAAGGATGCCAGGGAGACATGAAAAAGGTTGGGGCTCTATTTCCAGAGAAGAAATTCAATTTCCTTAAGGGATCCAGACTGGTAGGATGTTATCTGTCCTGCATGGACTCTACCAAGCCTGTTATAAGAATCTGACAGTGGAAGACCATGGTATTTGGCCTTTTATCACATTTCTTTCTCTCTTTACCTCTATCAGGAATATGTGCTGTTTTCATGCTTTTTGATAATCACGAACTACAAACTAGTAATTCACCTTCTACACAAACGAACTATATAAAATGACGAAAGGTCAGTTTTTAAAAATAAGAAATCTGAAAGAGATGAAGCTAACTGTTCAGAAATTAAATATTACTCATTATCCTTGGAGAATAAATCATAATTCTGTTTTTGAACACAGTCAATCTGTTGTGCATTGGTTCATCTAAGTGATCTGATAGCGTGCTCCCCAGTGTAGGGGCCAATCTGGGAAGAGACAGAAAACATAAGGTAACATCCATTCCTATAGGCTTTCTCCTAAATCAGATTTTTCTCAGTGAATTGGCTTTAGACAACAAAGGGAAAGAATTCCTGTTTAATTTTGTTTAGGCTCAGTACTCAGCTGAGGTAAAATCTGGGGAAATCCTAAGAAAAGTAGAACAGAGGGAACCACAGTTCCATTCTGGGCTCTGATGTACATTAATTTGTGTCTTGGATGATTTAAGTCTTCTTTTTGCCTTAATCTCAATCTGGAAAAGGAGGTCATTTTCACCCACTTTGTGAACAAGCATCATGGCAGTCTTTGATTCTAGGCACTGACTGAGAAAGGAGCCAAAAGCCAGAGCAAACCCCAAAGGTGCTGAGTTTATAGCATGTGCTGTTCCACCCCCGCTGGCCCGTGACCCCACAGACACACCTAGTATGTGTGATCTTCCTGAAAAACCGCAATTGCCTGAGGGGCATGATCACTCCTATTTCTTTCGTATTTCTTTTCCTATACCACTTGTTCCAAAAGGAGACCTATGCCACACAGATACCAAACGTGGCTGTCTGCTTCTTCTAATGATTAATGGGGAAAAGAAATGATGCCAGTCCCCATGCTTGAAACATGCTTCATAGATTCAAAGCCAACGCACATTCATCTGATCTTCACAGTGGCTGGGTGGGGGCGTTATCCCCACTTCTAGATGAAGAAGCCAATGTCTGGAGTACTTAAAACAATTTACCTGCATGCAACCTAACCGAAACTTGTACACGATTTTTATTCTAGATCCACTCTCGTGTTCCCGACCTGCCCTGGGCCGGAGCCTGCTTCCCATTTAGCAGACTAAGGATTCTTTCTCTAGTGCCAATTTGGTCAAGGTTAAATAAATATGGTTTTCTTCAATGCAGAGAGGAAATTGATAATGAGATGATTTGTAACAAATGATTAAACGGCCATCGCTTGGGAATCTCCTCCCTCTCCCCTTCCTATATTTCAAAAGTTAAAAGGTGCTGGGTGAAGGTGGAAGCGATATCACTTTCAAGAGAAAGAAGCTTCGGCCCCACACCCCTCACCATCCAGCGGTTCTGCAAACAGATGTCAGAGAGGATCCCTCTTCCTACCACCCAGTTACTCCGAAGGGATGATAACAGCCATTGGGGGGTTAAAAAGAGGCAGTGAACCCCCAGTTAATGAGTAGGAATTCAGCAGGCAGTGTAAGATAAATGGAGCTCTCTCTGCTTCTGCTGGAGTCAGCATGAACTGCGGCCCTGCGGCTTGTTTGTGGCAAATGGAGTGCGCGAAATATCAAAGGGCAGTGATCCAGAAGAAGACCGACTTTGACAAATTTTAAATTGGCCAGAAAGAAAACCAGCAAAAAAGGGGGAAAAAAAAAAAAAAGAAAAAAAAAGAAAGAAAAAATGGGAAAAAAAAAAAAAGAGAGAGAGAGAGAAAGAGAAAATTATGCAATTCACCGTGTCCTGCAATTGTGGCCCTGCTGCCTTCGTACAGAATTAGTGGTAAAAACAGCAGCGAGGATTGCCTGATGCTGGGAGCAATTATGAGCCATCTAAGTGAGATGCTTATCAGTGGCTGAAGCTTTTAGAGCTCTCTCTCTATACAGTCGTGAGTAACTTGCTCTGGAGCTGCAGTTACTTTAATTAAAGTGTATAGGGTTGGTCAGAAGTAATTATCCTGTTTGGAGAAGAAAGAGAAAAACACCACCTCAACAATTCTGGGTGGCAATAGATTTTAGAAACAGCTTTGCCAATTCTTGTTGTATGTGTGCACTTCCCATAAAAGGATCAGGCCGAGATGGGTTAGAGTTATTGGCGGTTGTTACCTAATGGCAAACAATGGGACGCACACAGGGTTTATTAGAACCCCAGTCACTGTGCTTGGCTCAGGGC